ATATAATATTTATAAACATAAGTATAGTAATTTAAAGTTAAATCTTAATATCTCAGGTCATGTTAAATTAATTTTGAAAAATATAGTTACTTAAGGATAAATAAAATTTAGTTTTCTCCATTTCAAAAAAAAAATTTTTCCCACCAAACTTAAATTTTTAAATGATTTTAAAAATATTTTAGTACAAAATTTTAGGTTGTGAAGGAAAACAGTAAATGCATGAAAATAAAAACTAACCTGTAGAGGATTTCTGAACATGAAATTGGTTCTGTATATTGCAGGTACTAACTGTAAAACTACATATAGGCTTTAAATCATTAAATAAAATATAATATATTCTAAAGAATTTGCTGGGAATTAAAACAGAACTACTAAAACTGAAAAACAAAAACTAAAAATACTACACATTCAACAAGCACAAACTGAAAATACTAAAACTAAAATTGAAAAGTAAAAAGTCTACTATTACTATTTCAAATTACAGGTCTACAACACAACATATAAATCTTAAATCCAAAAAGTCTCAAATAAAAGTGCAACATAGTATAAACAAATATACAAACAACACATAATATCAAATCAAACTTAAACTAAACTATCAGTCCTCATCTCCTTCCTCACCATCATCATCATCAACTTCTTCTTCTCTTGCCTCTTCATCTTCATCACGAATGGGAGCATAGGGAACAAAGCTGGGGCAAGCAGAAAAGTTCACATTAGGTTCACCCATGAAGTGTCTAACCAAAGCATTTTGAAAATCTATATCATGCTAAACTCTCCTCTGCTAATATTCATCATTATATGCATTCCTAGCCTCTATCTCTGCCAACTGAGTCTGTATATTAATGATATCATATTGTTGAATCATGAGCTAGTCCATAATACCTTCCAACGATGCAGAACTAGAAGTAGATGTCTCTGCAGCAGATGTAGAGGGCCCACTTCTAGACTCAACAAACAATTCTAATCTTTGAATCATGTGCCTCCCAATTAGATTCTGAGGCTGTAATCTCTCTTCATTTCTACGGGATTCAACTCCTGATTGTTCACATAGAGTGAAAATCCGGGTAGGATATCCCAAGCTTCCGACAGTAGCACTACCAGCAATACTCCGAGTGTGATGAATTATAAGCGCACCAACGTCTCTTGCCTTCATGTTCTGAATACAATAGTTCAACACAACTCGATCCTTTGTAACATCAGCAAGATGATTTGTAGGTAAGAGTCTGACAGAGATGAAGTGATGTCATACTTTGGACTGAATCGTTAATATGGAAGTGGGGAAGTTAACTTTATTCTTTATCTTTTCCCCTCTTCCATCAGTCAAAAAGGCAATGACTTCTTCCAGTGATGAATCAGTGATAACAAAAGTGACATATTCATCATGGAAGACATTCCTCAACCCATATAACACATTAATCCTTTCGGAGGTAAACTCAACTTTCATACCTCTCACCAGAATATGATCTCTCGCAGTGAACCTTAGGTTGGCATAGAACTCCCAAACCATCAGGACGATTGCTACAACAGTGAAGTAGCAAAATCACTCCCAATTTATTTCTGACGATAATTAACCTTTCAACCTCACCTCCTGGGTTCACAAATGCCCTTTCCCGGATCAATCTACGGGTCTCAATTTGTGTATTGTAATAATGTTGGGCCTTGAAATTAATGAACTTTTGAGCATCAAATTTGCCCGATGTTCTTCCTCTTTTTGTACGGGGAGCCATCGGAGATTCTACAAAAATCTAAATAAATTCCAAATAAATTACTAAATAGCAAATCAAACTCCCTAAGCAAGATTATTTGGTAGGAAACTTTTAACCATGAGTTTTCTTCAAGCATTTTCATCAAAAATTCCATTTTTTGGATCTCCCAAAATCCATAGTGAAAATAAAATATTTCTAAGTTAAAGTGAAGCTCTTACTAAGAGAAGATGAATTCTATGATTTTTAGCCTCCAAATCCTTCTCCTTAGCCCGCCATGTGATGCTCTAGACTAAAGGTTGGAGCTGGAAGACGACCAAGTGGTAAAAATGGAGGTTTTCCGTGTGATTCCCTTGTTTTTTTAAGCAATGAGGCGTGTTCGGATCTTTGGCGTATGGTGTACCAAATCTGGCGCATCATGCACCAAGGCTCTGTAAGTTGGCGCATAATGCTCCAAAGCGTATTTTTGCCAGATTTCAGTTTCTTGGAAATCTGCTCCATACCGCTTTACGTCAACATTTATTTGACTCAAATAAACCTTTTTAAGCATAATTAAACATCAAACTAACACCAAATTTTCACAAACAACAATAAAATCATATTTATTTATGAAATTCACGTTATCACAAACTAACATTTTTCAAACCAACACATAACAAATTCAGTGTTCTAAAGCAAACCAACGTCTTAACACTGAAATCTAAACATCACACTTCAAAGAAATGAACATAGATAGTGCAACAATAGAAAGTAAAGGTAATCCAACATAACAAACTAAACCAAACAATACTAGGCAAAACGTTCCATGCTTAACTCAACTTCAAACATCTCTCACAGACTGGTAGTGCACATACAGATTGTAGAAGGGCCTAAATGGAAATTCATCAGTTGAATTTTTCTCCTCAATCTACGCATGCTTCTTGAACATACATACCATACCATCTTCAATACGACCTGTATGTTCAAAATGTTCCTTGAGTCTCCAATCCAGGTGATCCAACATTTCAGAAATATTCTCAATTGCATGCATAAAATTATGCACCTCTTTCTCTATCTTTTTTATTCTCTTTGAAAGTGCACTCGAGTTGTAGTAGGGCTAAATAGGTGATGAATTATGGGATCTATGATCCATTAGTACATTCAGATTATTTTCATCTCCCATTCCAATGCAACTGCAGTAGACTTCATGATCCATCGGCTTCCAAGGTAGTATTCTCCCAACTTTTATAGGGCACTTGCAATTGACTGCAGAGTTGGAAAATAGTAGATGGATGTCCCAATACAGTTGCATATCCATTCACAATCAAACCTAAAACTAATTTTACAATTATGGCTCCAATATCAACAGGTTTTCCAGTTTGAATACAATAATTCGGGATAACACTCTCCTTAATGACCTTACTAATTTTCATAGTTGGCAGTGATTTCGAAGAAATGAAGAAATGTCATGCCTTTGAAGAAGGATTTAATAATGATGAAGAAAAACTCACATTCACATCATCTCGGGCTTCCCAATTAACATCTTCATCCGTAAGGTAACGGTAGAGTTCATCCATGTTGTCTCTTGTAGGGGTAAAATTTGCGTAGTGGTAGCAGACACGTTCTCGATCATAAACATTTTGTTGATTCTCGAAGGAGTGAACTGCACAAACCTGGCTCGCACGTAGATCATTCCTTGGTTGATTCCATGAAGATTTGCATAAAATTCTTTCACCATAGGGACAACTACAGCGGCAGTAGTGCAACAAAGCACTTCCTAACGCCTCTGAGCAATAACTTCTTCGACTCGAGTATTCTGCATGTTGAATCCTTGATTCACAAATCACCTCTCTTTGATAAGCCTCTTTTTTACTATAACTCGATCATGCAACTTTTGTGCGCCTCTCTTTGATAAGCCTCTTTTTCACTATAACTCGATCATGCAACTTTTGTGCTCCGAAACTGATGAACTTTCTTCGATTGAAAATTCTAAATCTAACAAAGTTTCTAGAGTGGGAAGTCATAGGAATTGAAAAGTGATGACTCTTCCATCGTTTTCCCTAAAAGTGGTGACTCTTCCCTCGTTTTCCCACCTAAAATTTGTCTTGGAGTCGGTTTTTAGGAGTTATTTGAAGGTGTCCCCTCCAAAAAACTGCCAAAGACCGCTATTTGAAGCGTTTAAGTCATTTTTGTCTACACGGCGCTTCATGCACCAGCTCTCTGGAATTTTGTGCATCATGCACCAGTTCCAAAATTTTGGCCGTTTCGATTTTGATCAAATAAATTCTCAGTCTTTTCAGAACATTAGGCAAATAAATATGTTCTAAACATTTTTCTCAAATACACGGATTACATAAAGACATAAACATAAACATACATATAAGATTTTATACAAAATCTCAAAAATGAAAGTAAACAATGATACATATGGGTTGCCTCTGATACCCCTAAAATATATAGTGTTTTTAGACACATTTTTATACTTATTTTTGAGATATTGCACTTTAATGGAAGATATTTTTGTGTTTTTCTTGCAGATACAAGTAAAAATGAAAAAAAAAAATTTAAAGGAGTGAAAAATGATCAAATTTGGAGCAAAAATGTGAAAAATTGTGCAAAAGAGTTTTGGCGCCTAAGCGTCGGTTAAACATAGAAGGTCGCGCCTGAGCACCGAGACCCCGCACTTAAGCGCTGGCAGTTACTATATGAGAAAAATTGGTTTTCACGAATTTCGAAGAGATTTATGAGGCACACATTAACTTAATAGGTGGTTGTAACCACCATGGACGAAAATTATCATGAAAGGATGCATCTCTTGGGCAAATACCTCAAATCAAGACACATTTTGACGAGATCCCGACACCTCTTGGAAAATTATAAGAGAAAGAATAGATGACTTAGAAAAAAGTCCTGAAAATATTGGCAAGTTTTGAAAGTTCTTCTCTGGGGAGTTAGTTCAGAGAGATTTTCAGGAACCACTTTATATTTACTTTATCTTATTTTATTATTTTATTTTGAGTGATAGTAAAAAGATATTCAAAGCTGAACTTATTGGAGGGCTTTATTTTTAAATGTTTAATTCAAATAAGACTAGTTCTTAAAATATCATCACAATAAATATATTAAAAAAATGCTAATCACGGCAAAATCCACCGCGCATAATTCCAAGTCGATGGAACATCGAATCTACCCGTCCGATCAACATAATCTGGGAGCAATTTCCTCATTGGAAGGTGAGGATCGGTCCGCCAATTACCTAATTGATAATCGGAATCGCTGAGACCGTTAACTAACACCACAGAAGTTCATTGCGTCTCTCTCAACCTCTGCTCTCTCTCTAAAATCCAAAACCTCCAATCGCTCTCTTTCTCTCTCTAAATCCCTAGAGTCCCTGCGATGACTGTCGGAGAATGCGGAGAGGAGTACTTGATGCTCAAAGATTTCCGAGCAGACCTCAATCGGGACGGAGTCTTTGGTGACGAGGGGTTTGCGGGTTTCTCACTGTTCCTATGGATTTACCTCTCCAGTTCCGCTCGGCCATCTGTGATTCTTCGGCAGGTTGTTCTTAATTCTACTCATAGTCTGTTGTGTCGACGCGAGAACTCAGTTTCCCTCTTTGGTATTTTTTGCTGGCTTCTGGGGTTTCTTTTTCTGCGATCTTTGGGTTGTACATTGGTTGTTTTGTTCGTTTTGGAGATTTAGTTCATTGATTGGTTTTGCTTATCCCAGCTCAAATTTGAAGCAGTGCCCAGTTTTTCCATTTTCCGTTGATTGGGATGGCTGATGAGCAACCATCAGCGGATTGCCGTGGTTTTTCTCGTCGAAGAATGCCGCTAGAAGTGTTTTTTTTTTTTTTGCTCTTTAAGTCGGTATAAATGTTGTTAGTGAATTATTCTTTTGGATAAAAGGATTAGTAGTTAGAGTGGTTTCCTCAGTGTTCTCTTGTGTATTTATTAATGTTTTTTAGTTGATTTTGCTCCATCAAACTTTTATGATTGCGCTTACCTGCCCTCTTCCATGATCTGGGCATGATTTTTTTTTCTAATTACCGTCATTTTTCTGGATTTTACATACCGAAATCACCATTTCATTTTAGTCTTGATTTAACTTTTGCCAAAAAAAAAAATATATATATATATATAATTAAAACTATTTATGGATTCAAGCTAAGCTGAAACCTTTCTTGATGTGTTTTCTTTTACTTATTTTGCCTCTTTTATTTCTAATATTTGGATGGTGAAACTGTTTATATATTTGCCAGTTTTTCCTAAACTAGACATCCTTTCTCTTCCCCCTGTTGCTAGAAATACAAGCAACTATCATCTTGTACTTATTGTTTGTGTTCAAACAGATGGAATCTTACCATCGGTTTCTAAAAGAAGAAACCTTTTTTTTCCCCTTTACATTTTCATGCTTTAAATTCTTAAATGCATCGAGTATTGAAATGAGTTTTCTATTCAAAAACTACCAACTATATATATAGATTGCTGAGAAACATTGTCAGAATATCCTGATACAAAACGTATTAGGATGGGATTGTTGGATTTTCTTTGATATTAGTGCGACATATGAAGAGTTTGTATTCACTAATTTCAAAGCAAATCAAATGATTATCAAGCCCATCCTGATAAAATTTTTATCAAGATGCCCTTACATATATTTTTCTTTTTTCCTGTTTGTTTGCTTGATTAGTGGATGCAATCCATATTCCTGTATTTTCCTTAAGATTTTTTAGCATAAAAAGTATGCAACTTTAGGTTCCATGTAACGCAGGTCTCAACAGAAAATGATGATGATGCTCCTTTTCTCTCAGTTAATGAGGAAAACAAGTTGATCCTCTTCCCCCTGATGTTTTTGCACAATGAAGCTTCATTTGTTTGTAGCTCTTTTCCGTGGTCTGACATTCATCATATAACTTCTAAGAGCGAATGCCCATTGGAGAGATGGGTTCATATTGGATGTAAGGTATGTTTATGGGTGAGCCAGGGCTTTAGATTGGGGATTTCATGATCTTTATTGTGCTTTTAGCTCTTCATAAGTATTGCACCTGGCCAGAATCTGTCAAGTTTTGCAGCTTGGATTAATATGGACCACCTGACGAGTGGCTAAGATATAATTGATCTGCTCACCCAAATTTTTGAGTATGAGTCTTGCTTGTATAAACGGAATCTTCTAGTATAAGCTTGATGATTGTATTATGCATTTTTCTGTAATTATTGAGAACTCGATTGAGAAGGCATAAGTTCTTAAATTCAGATTTTCAATCTTCCTTTGCGGTACTCATGAAACTATCTATTATGCATTTCAATATGATTACGATTAAATATTTTGGAAGTTCTATGTGCTATAACTTATGACTCTATGATTCATCCTGCTCTTGCACAATTTCTCATCTAACTCAGTGCAACTTTATTAGTAAAGTTTTGTGATATAGTTTTGAGGAGTCCAAGTTACTGCTATTATTTTTCTGCAAGAACTTTCGGTCAGGCGGCACTTTTTTATTGCAGAAAAACCACTCTGAGCATTGGAGAACAGTAATTAGAAGAATACATATGATTACTGGAGTGATACAACTTAATTTAACCATATCATGATAGTTGCAGTTGATTCATCTAGAGCACTAAATATCTTTTCTATTGAAGTATGGCTGATCAAAGACATTATTGATTATGATAAGTGAGGATTCCTTCAGCAAAAGCATGCATTACTTCAGGATTAAAAATTTTTCATTTATGCTTCAGTCAAGTTGTGTATTCATCCTTGTATTTTGACTCTAAAATTCAGGGAGAAAAAATTTTATTCTTTGTTGTTGCTGTTGTTGTTGTTGTTATTGTAGTTGAAACAATGCTTCTGAATATTTTCTGTGAAATATCTTCTGCCTTTCGTATTTAGTTTTTCCTTGGTATTCAGCAATTGTTGAGTTTTTCTATTAAAGTTTTACTATAAATGGTATAGCAATTTTCTTTTGGACATTAAATAAAAAACAGTATGAAATTACATGTGACTGCTGCAACGGCATGATCTATTGGACACATGCTTCCTTACATTTGCATGGAGAGGCTTTTATTGAAATCTAAGCCGGAAACTTTTGGGTCTCAATGAGGCGATCTTACTTTCTTCTTATTTCTTGAAACAATTTATTAAGTTTTCCCTGCTGATTTTTTATAATCAGGCCACTAAAGACTATATTTGCCTTTACTTCAATGGAGAACTCTCCCACAATATGCCTTTCTCTTCTTCATCTGATGATCATGACGTTGATAACTTAAAGAAACTTGCTTTGGCCGGCATCAGTGGAAATGATGATAAGCTTCAGGCTTATGTTTATAATGCTTGTGTGTTGCCTTTATCGGCATCCGTCAAAGATGACTTTGCTAAGGTGCATACTTTATACATGAAAAGTGATTCTATTTGTTGCCATGAACTGAATTTAGCGCGTTTTTGTTTCTTTGATCGTCATTGTTATTAGATTACTGAGGTTAGGCTTCTATTTACTTCAGAATCCACCGGTAAAGTTATCCATTAACGGTTCATGCACCTCTGATGCACTCGAAGTGGGCCGTGACGGTGTTTGGAGCATTGTTGGTGGAAAGGTATGATGGCTTTTACTTGCAATAAAACTGTTGGTTGATATTGACAGTGTTCACTGGAATCTGCTCAGCCAAGAGCTTGAAAAGTATCTATGATACATTATCATGGTACGCAACTTATATCTGGATGCCAAGGGAACAACTGAAAACATTACTCCTTGACCTAATTTGTGTGAATCATTGTTGCGAATGAGCTCAATATCTTCATAATTATTTTTTCTGTAAAACATTAATATCATATTCTGCAAAATAAATAAGTTCTATTTCCCTGAAAGGGCTTATGGACCCTTTACGTCCACTGGGGCTCATATTAAAATTGATGACTGAATTTTCTATTGTCAAAACTTGAGAACCATCCGATGTAAATTTGTGTCCCCATGCCAAGTTTCATTGATGTCATCTTAATTTTTAGGTATTTACTTAAGAGTTAAATTTTATTAAACTATAATCAAATCTAATTATATTGTATGAACCTAAGTAATGGCAAACAAACAAAAAAAAAAAAAATCTGTTAATAACAACGTTGAGTGGATGGAAATGAGAATAGTAAGATTGATGTGCCAAAACTAGAAAGGATAAACTATGGAATGATTTTTTATTTTATTTCAAAATCTTAAATCTTGCTTCCTACTTGAAATCTTATAAACTGCTAAGGTGCATGTCCTATCTAAATATTAGATGACATGGCTCAGGTCTTTTGTCTCCGCTCCCAGAAGAGGGACCACTAGAACTAATGTTATGTTAGATGTGTCAAGGAGGTGTAAGAAAGACTTATGACTTCAATATGGGGAATCTATCAATCTACTGTGTTTGGTTCTATCGTGTTGCACTGGGTTGTTTTTAATATTGATTGCTGACTTGTTGTTGCACTTCAACTTCATTTGAGTTTCTTAGTCCACCTTGATCTCTACCAACAAGGCTCTCAACCACATCATCTCGACAACTCCTATGGTCATGACCTTGTACTCTTCCTCTGCTGTTGACCTTGCTACTATAGACTGTTTTTTACTCTTCCAACAGACCAAGTTGCCCTCTAGAAAGATGTAGTATCATGAGGTGGATCTTTTGTAATATCCACTACTCGCCTAGTCAACGTCACAAAAACCCTTTAATGTTTACATGTCCATTTTTTTTTAAGATCAACCCTTACCTTAGTGCACTCTTAAGATGTAACGCCCTGTTTTTTTAACCAGAGGAGTGGAAATGATTAAAACGAAAAAGAAGAAACGAGGAGTCGGACAATGATGAATCAAAGAATAAGAAATGAACAGTTAGAAGCTGAAGGGGGAGAGGTGAAGTGAGAGGTTCGGGTAGTCGAAGAAATATTTCTTGGTATAAATCCATGCGTAGAGGGACAATGGAGGCAAGTCGACTTATCTGGTGAGTTGAACAATTAGTGCGAGAGATAACAAATACAAATTAGGGCATCCTGTAGTTGAACGTAGCGACTTCGACAGACGATGACGTCTCTATCTAGCAAGGAGGAGGAAGAGGGAGGGGCGACGACATCGAGGCTTGTTGAGCCGCCAAAGAAAGAGAGGGCAGCTGTGTCGTCGAGGATTGAGCGAGGCAAGAGGTGCGAGAGTTGAGCTCGTGCCCTAGCCTACCAACAAAGAAAAAGTGGAGAGGAAGGAGCATCATAGATGAGGAGGGAGCCGAGTTTGTGCGGGGGAAGGAACATATGCAATCGAGCATAAAAAGAGGAGAGAAGAAGCTAGCGTGCGAATGAAGAAAAGATTCGTGCGGGTGCTAAGCCTAGCTAGGCTTTTGGTAAGGTAAGACTTATAAGTTTTGTATTTTAATATTATATTTTAAATTGTTTATATATATATAATACCAATAAATATAATAATAATAGTATATGAAAGATTTATTTGAAATTTAAATATAAAATTTACAATCACTTATCTGAGTGGACATTTGTTAGATATTGAATAAAATTATAAATGTTGATTTACTTGAAGTTTTTGATAGTTAAATTAAAGTAACATGAATACTTAAAATAAAGCTTATAATCAACAATTAAAGCTGCATAAGAAATTAAGAGATTAATTAAGCCTAATTAATAATATGCTTAAGATTATATTTTTATGATATTGTAGACAATTAACTATTGAAGGTAATTAAACGTGTTTGAAACAAGTCATACAAGTTTTAGGTGAGTATTTTTACTTTTAATCTATAGTAATAATTCATTTCTTCTCAATGTTTTGCAGTTGATGACACATGCATATGCTTTTTTCTGATTGAGATATTTTTCTTCATTGGTCATATTGTTATAAATACTATTGCTACTTACTTTTATGCATTTGGTGTATTGTTTACATAATATGTTAAAATGAATGCAACAAATGCACGAATGAGATATGCTGACTGCTTGTAAGTGCATAACTAATTATGATGAAGTCACATTTTGATGGTACTAGTGGGGAAACACTAAGGTACCCGTATAGTCATTTGGAAAAGAATATTTATACTGATGTACTTTAATTGATACAATTTTTAGATGGTGATTATATGACGGTTGTATAGATATGCTAATGATATATTAAATACATTTTAAATGACATTAAATATTTATATTGATTTATTAAGCAATTTAACTAGCATGAATGTTGCTTCATTCTCTCTTATATTACTATTGTTTATGGGTATGAGTATTCACTGACTCGTTTAGCTCACAGTTGTTTTAAAGTATCTTTTCAGGTAAATTTTAAGTAATTTAAAAAATGAGCGATATAATAAAAAATGTTTATAAAAGATATAAACTAGTACTGAGACAAGTTCTATTGTACTTATTTAATTTAATTGGTGACTTTTTTCATCTGTTAAATTATAGAATAATATAGAAAACTTAATTTACACTGTCCGACAATCTGTACTCGCCTTGGTTAATTCCTAGCTCCGGACCAGGTCGTGACAAATGTGGTATAAGAGCCCAAGGTTTAGGATTAATTAATTTGATATTAATGAAAGTGCCAACATGATAGTTATAATAAGAAAATTTTAATAATTATAAAAGGAATTATTATTCATTCAGGCATAGTGATTCATTTAGAAAGTGGTTGGTATCCCTATCCACCTGACGACAAATGCAAGACAAGTTAATCAAGTTGAGGCAATGAGAGAAGATGGTCATGCAGTACGAAGCAAAATTTACTGCACTATCGAGATATGCGTCACGGTTGATCACTACTGTAGAAGAAAAGTGCCACAGATTTTATTTTTGGGATTAAAAGATTCGTTTAGATTGTCATTTGTACCTTTACGGATTGATAAATACTCGATATTAGTGGATCGAGCTAGAAGAGTGAAGATCGATTATCAGCTTACTCTGAAGCATAAGGAGATGCGCAAGAGGAAGACTGCTTTCAGCATTATTTTAGTTGAGGAGTTGCCCGTAGCAAGCTGTCGGTCACCGGAATCGGAATCCTGTCGCTCGCTTCAGAAGGATATTTTAATTTATATATACGTATAAGTTTTTAGAAAAAAATGAAATCAAACTGATCCCATACTTTTCATAGTTTAAGTGTTGTACCTCAAACCCTGTATATATCTCAAAGGATAAACACAAGACTTGAGTATGTGGCTCGATCAAATAAACTAAGGAATATATGACATTTGTTTGGTCTGTGAAACCGTTTTATTTACCGACAAGTTCTCCTATTTAACATGAAGAATTAAATAGGGTTTATATTAAGCTGGGTTCGAAAAAATTTCCTATAAGGGCAAACCCCTATAGTTAATTATATCTTAGATAACTGAGGCCACCTAAGAAAACTTTCGATAAAAATTAAAAAAATATTATCTTCAAGAAGTTAAAAAAGATAGGACTTTTCAATAAAATCGGACAAAGAGACGTGAAATGAGATTGCCTTAAATTTGGAATATTTTGTTTTTGGAATCCAAAGGAGGAAGAATTAGGGATGTTATGGATCCGGAGGAGAATCTCAGTGATTTTCCAATCTATCCTATTGTTTGGCTTTAGTGCTGAAGAGAAATTATTTGAATGTTTCGTCCTGGCAATTTTATTTGTTTAGCGCTTACATTTGTGTGAGGATTTATGTCGTGACGAACGACAACCTCGGAATCCTAAGACGAGTTAGGACTTATATTGTACAACAAAACTGTACAAAGGTCTAAAGATGAGTTGAGGATTTATTTTGCACCAGGCAGACAACCTCGAAATCTTATGGATTTGGTTGTTTAATTCTAAGGAAGAAATTATTTAGCTGGGGAAGACAGGTTTTGTTGTTGAAGATGACTGTGCTGCCCACCATGCTAGCTCAAAGTTCCTCGTCGTGGCGAGTTTAAGTTTTCTAAGGTCTCAGGTTATAATGCCAAATCAGGTGGCCTTATGGTTATAGTTCTTTAAAAACCTCCTCTGAATTTTGATTTTCATGCAGGGTGACATCGTTGTTTAACATGTAAGTTTTGTAAGCATAAAAGTACAATGTGGAAAGTATAGAAAAAGACAGTACTGTAAACTGTAAAAGCGTACCTGACGAGTCTTCTCGTTCAATCATCTGAAACTCAAAATGCATATGAGGGCATTTTATGTAAAATGGAAAAACAAGGTTCTAGAGATCTACCGAAATCCTAAATCATATCTTGGTGAACACCTATTAATTTTACTAAGTATGTATTTGAGGATGATTTCATTAAGCAAAATATGTTAGGTTTAGTAGACCTCCGAGGTATCCACAAGGTCGGGAGAAAGAAGCAGGTTCATGCTTCCCTCTTACTCTCTGGTGGAAAGTCTCGAGCTCATTTAAACTTATTATGTCACTTAATAACTCATCTTGTAAATACCTCTAATACTCAGTGAACATTGATGTTTCCATTATCCCTAAGAGTAGGAGAATCATCACTTGTGATTTAATTTGAGAGTTATGTAGGTGAAGACCCTTAAAGGGGCAAGTTAGTGCTATCGAGACACTTCGCCAATTTTAGCTTTAATTTGGGCTTGTAGTGAGCTTTAATTTGGGCTTGTAGTGTTTAAA